CAGGCAGCTGTACACACATTTCCATTTCTAAACTGCAGTAGACTAGTTCAGGATATTTTCACTTGAATGTGACATTTTCTTCTTCTGAAGAAACAAGAGTGATTCAAAATTATTTAAAGTTAATCTGTTCTAGCTGAACATTATTTGAAGGCAGTCTTACTGATGAGTGTTCAACCCAATTACAATTCCTCCTCAAAACAGATTAATTAGGTTACTTGTACCTTTTTATGGTGTCCTTAGGCACTTGACCACAGCTAATAATAAATACCCAGTACTTTTTATCTCTAAAAAAGCAAGCATCCTTACCTCTATTCTAAAGATGAGGAAACTGAGACATGAGTAAGCAAAGTCATCTGCCTAATGTCACCTAGATGAGAGCAGAGCAGCCAGGAATGAAATACAGGTCTTCAGAGTCCCATCTGGTAGTATAATCCAACATGGCAAGGTACAAGTGCCCAATTTCATATACATTTATATACAAAACATAGTTGTGTAATCTAAGACTCAACTGTTCGATTTGTATCATGCAAACTAACAAAATACTGAGCACTGTCCAGTCACATTCACTTTATGAGAATTCTTGTCCCAGGTATGAAATGGAAAAATAAAACAAACCAAAAACTATAGCGACCGTGCCATCATATGATCATAATTTAGATATATTTCAGTTTGTATTTCAGTTGTGGTACTGTTCATCACTATTGAAAACAAAAAAAAAGGTTACCAAGAGACTTGAAACATGATTCTGTCATAACACTTATGCTTTATGATCCCTAAGTACAGCACCTTAGGAACTTAGATGACTATGGCATTAAAACAAAATATCCATTAAAAATCCCGTTATTCTGACAAATATAGAAATAAAGACATTTTTTTTGCAATGTTCTGTGATATTAGAAATATGTATTATGGCTAAGTTTGAAAAGTTAATTCCAGGCAGAGTCCTTTATACTTCCATTTGAAATAACTGAAGATCTGTTACATGCTTACTTACTTAGCCCAAGTTCTCTATCTTGACCAAACAATTTCATTTAAGCAAATAAAACCAAGTAATATGCTCTTTTTTCCCTTGTATTAAACAAGTATTGTTTTGAAAGCACAATTTTGAGTGAACCTAAAATTTTCTTAAAATAAATCCTGTAACGTCAACAATAAAAGTCCCAAGTTTAAAAGATTTACAGTACTGTCTAGAAAAGAAGTGGTAGTGAACACCTAAAAATACAAAAGTGTAATTACTACGCATACACAATAGTTTTATTTAAATACTCTTAGTAATAGTTTCTGTTAACCTAGCCATATCAACTTACTATGCTGACATCTACCATCACTGCCAATGAAAGCACACATCTTTGGAAATACACACAACTTCACAAAAGACCTTCTCTTTTCCTTCTAATAATGATTTGGAAAAAAAACCCAAACAAACTTTTTTTCCATTAGAAACTTAAAATTTATTTCACGGATGCCTTATTTAACAGCCTGCAGCACCATATGTTAAAGTTTAATTTTATGAAGTAACAGAGTTGCCACTTCCACCAGGAAGCAAAGAGTTAAAGACTGTGCAATTAACCTGAGAACAAGGACTGGAGAGGCTCCTTTACCTGGTGGACAAAGTTCTAAGGGATGCAAGACCAGAGAAGGACAGCGGAATTTTGGAAGGGAAGGCAACATCAGCAACAGTAGTTCTTACCCAAACTCATTCCCTGTCCTACAAAAAAACCTGTACTGGAGATAAAAGGAGGTAAAAAAGGGTAATCTGGCTTTATGTAATCTTTTCAATCTTTAGTAATCAGGCAATTTCACTGGTGAAGCTACTAAACAGAACAAATCAAAATGAGGATTTTTAATGCCAAGTTTACTTCATGTTATGCATTTGCTAACTACTGAGGAATAAGTGTTGCATTTTTCACCTTGAACAAACTCAGCTGAAAACTTGCTGAGAAGCAAAACATACTTTCCACATCCTATAAAACAATGCATACCATACTTTGTAGAAAAAGCAGGACAAAAATATCAAGTGGATATTTGCTAGCAGAGGTTTTTAAGAAACTGCTTTATCAGTTATGGAGTCACTTTTTTAAAATACAAAGTTGTCATTGTGAGAAGTGCAATCTAGGGCCTATTTAAGGCCTGTTTAATTAAGCCCAGTACACTTTGAAACAAGTACATGTACTACCACTTTCTTATTAGCAGTTAGTTATTTTGGTCTTTTGTTTTTCATATTTTCTCAGAATCCACTTCACATCCTGTTAGTCAGTGGTTGTGACAGTCTGCCAATCTTTTTATCAGGAGAGTTCAATTGATTCATGACTACTGATCCACTTTAATTAACTTGACCCAAACCTAACAGTTTACTTCTACCACGCTGGAGTACACTGGGCTGTCATAACCAAGTGCATGCAGAACATGCAACAGCAGAAAGCAATGTATTATATTGATCACTGACTGATACTCACTCTAGAATCCATGTCAGGAACAAGCTTGGGATTTACACTGGGTTTAGCTTGTTTTCAGTAAGTTTTCATGAGTATTAGCAAAACATCTAAACCATTGTCCATGATCTAAATCCATCCAACTACCTGACCCTTTTAACCTTTACTGTAACCATGCATTCTACAACTTCCTCATCTTTCTGCGCAGGATTGCAATATGCAAGCAAAAGCCCATTTTACACATAAGCACTTTTTAAGTCGGAGTTCTTTAGATTGAGGAAGTTCCCTCCTGAAGAAACATGTGTGAAATGGCGTATCTCACACTTCACAGCAGTTCCCTTTCTTTTTGGGCCATACCACTAAACTAACTTTTATGTACAGGTATATGAACAGCGATTTGTTTTGAAGTGTTACCAAGTGGAGTTATATTGATGCCTTCACGTTTCACTGCTAATATACACCACCACAAACAAAACAGCATCTTTACAATGTTTCCTTCTAATACAGAAGTTCCTCTTAAAAATACCTAAAAGTTAGCAGTTCATGAAGCTTAAACACCCGGGATTCCCGTGTTAACTTCTTACCTTTCTGTCCTGCCCGAGGAACTGTATTTATCATTACAGAAGTTACCATATATGATGGAAGAGGCAGTGCAACCAAAGAATCTAATCTGCTCTGGATTTTTTTTGTTTTGTTGTTGTGTTCTGTTTTTTTAAAAATTACTATTTTTTATATTATTTTCTTTTTTTAATTAATATTACTGTCAGTCTCATCTTTCAAGAAAAAAAAGCAACAAAACAAAACAAAAAACAAACCCTCCCCATTCCCAAAATACTTCACTCATTTCCGTTTAAAGTAATGTGAAACCCACTCTTGGTACTTCTACAGAGATGTTGCTTCCATTTATCTTGCCTGTAACACTACCATAGTTAGCTATTCACACAGCTCACCACTTCAAACAGGTTTACCAGCTTATACATCATCGTATCAAGTTTGTATTAACATAGTGATTCTTCCTAGGCACTTATGAGCCACTGATTAAAGTTCAGCATTTTAAATGGATTCTTAGCCTTCAGCCATCTCACGTGCTACAATATTAAGTAGACTGCTACATCTCTGTTGTGCCTTCTTTTCCCTTGTTACTCAACGGAGCACATTGCTAACATTCAAAATTACAGGAGAATTTAACAGCATTTGGGAAATAAAATTTCTCCTTTTCAAAACATGCCTTTCTATTTTCTTTTTGAGCATTAAATTCAATACTTTCCATTTATGGTCTTCTTATTTTGGTTAATTGTCTATCTAATAAATTCAGAGACACATTCTTTGCCTGGTTAAACATAACAACTTACATAGACTTAACGACGTATATTAAAAAAAAAAACGAAACCAAACTTTCTTCGGGATAAGGAAGCTTAAGAGGTAGCAGGTTGAGCTGACATTTAAAGATAAGAACACAAAAGTGAAGCTCCCGAATTGCATCTAACCCTGCTAACCCTGTAGCTGACAAGCAGAAAAGTAGCACTTGCACGGGCAACCAAAAGTGGTCAAACTACAGGGATGAAAAACTCCAACCCTCGAGTCTTCAAGACTTCTAACAGTGTCGCGCGTTGTTTAGAGTTAGTTTTATGTAGTGACAAGAACCCTCGCGGTGTGACAAATCACGCTGTTCGCACCATTTTCTCCTCTTCCCGGGCTCGGCGTTCAAGGCCTATAAGAAGGAAGCTGCCGCGGCTGCAGCGCGGTGCCATGTCCAGGGGAGAGGAGGCTCTTTGCCTGACCCTGACGCGGGCGGCGGGGTGGCCCCCGGGAGCGCTCGGCGGGGCCCGGGCCAGCGCCGTGCCCGGGCGGCGGGGGAGGGCGAGAGCTCCGGGCCCCACAGCGGCTGCGGCAGGCTCGGGGCGGGCGCGGCAGCCCCGGGGCGGGCGGGGGGGGCTGCCGGGGCGGGGGGCGCGGCGCAGGCAGGCCCCGCCGGAGGGACGCGGCCGCTCGGCGGGGGAAGGAGGGAGCCGAGCGCAGACAAAAGCGGGTCGCGGCCGGCAGCGGGGTGGGGCCGTGACCGGGCGGCGGCGCCTCCGCTCCCGGGGGAGAGCGGCGGGAAGAGGCCTGGGGTGGGCACGGGCTTCCGCCGCCGCCCCCCCGGCCCGGGGCTGGGTGTGGGTGCGGGGTGGGCGTCCCGCGCCGAGCGGCGGGCAGGGGGCGGCGGGGCGCGGCGGCTGCTGCGCGCTCCCCGCCAGGGAGGGAGGGGAGCGGGGCTGGGGCGGCGCCCCCGGGGCGCCCCTCGCCGCTTACCTGTATCTCGGTGAAGAGGATCTCCCTCTCGGCCGCGTTGGACGCCATTGCGCCGGGGTTTGAAGTCCGCACCTGGGCGCTGCTGCTGCCGCCGCCGCCGGCGGGGAGGGGAGCGCGGGAGGCGGGTCCGGGGCCGGGACTAAGGGCGCATCGGGGGCGGGGGGAGCGCTCCGTGCTCAGGCAGGCGGGCGGGCGGGGGTGCGCGGGGGGCGGCCGCCGCCCGCTCTGCTCTCATGGGGGTCGCGCCGGGCGCGGGGGCGCGGTGCGGTACCGGGGATGCGGTGCCCGCGGTGCGGAGCGGTGTCCGGGGTGCGGAGCGATGCCCGCGGTGCGTTCCCGACGGAGCGGAGCGGTGTCCGGGGCGCGTCGCGGTGCCCGCCGTGCGCTCCCCTCCCGGGCGCGGCGCTCGGCCCTGGCAGCGCCGCGGCTGCTGCGCCTGCGGCCGCCGCCGATGTCGCACCATTTGGCTGTCACCCTGTCGCAAACGCCGCCGCTGCTTTGCGGCTCCCAGCGGCACGTGACGGCGCGGGGAGGAAGAGCGGCCTCGCTCGCGCGCGGCGCGCGACCCCCCGTGACACCCTCGCGCGTCCGAGGCGCGAGGCCCCTCAGCCCTCACGGGCCCCTCACCCTCCTCAGCCCCCTCAGACCTCTCTGCCCCCTCACTCTCCTCAGCCCTGCGGCCGCCTCGCCGCCTCCCTCCCTCCCTCCACGCTCCGCCGGTGCCTCTTCCCCGTCCGTTAAGCTCCGGTGCTGGGAAATCCTGTGAATTCCTCCAGTGGTGGCGGGAGTGGAGGGGGGGGGGGCGTGTGGCACATCCCTGGTTTTGGGGGCTTCAGGGTCTCGGCTTTCCCAGACCCAGGAGGCAGGTGAAGCCCTCGGTTTGTGGGTTAGCGAAGGCAGGTAGCTCAGGAAGGAGAGGTCACGCTTGTCTCAAGCGCCCGGAGAGAGGGCAGCCACCTGCCGCCCTGGGGACCTGGAGCAGTGGCCCAGGAGGTTGTGGTGAGTGGGGGCTGTACATGCCGTTTTTAATAGTTTAAAGGGCTAAACGTTTGTACTTGGGGTGCTTGGTCAGTTTTTGGGGGGCTGGCGCTGTTCAGTCAATTTGCGGAGTAATGAGCTGCTGAGAGCTTCAAAGGCAGTTTGGGTGTCTGGGAGGAAATGGTTTCTCTTCCCTCGTGGCAACATGTGACACGACCATTTATTCTCAGCTTCCTGCCTGTTTCGAGTGTTGGTGGGTTTTTGCACCTGTCCATAAACATTCTTTCTGTTGTCCAGTCTATACACATGTGCATTCTCATTCCACCCTAATATTGGATGCTACATTAGGCTAATTGGACTAATGCAAAATGCTCTGTGGAAGCAATTACAGCTGGTTTTGGGGTTTTTTTTAGTCTGTGCAGACTCATATAAGCTGAGGCATTTTCAACAGATTTAACCTCGTGCAAGGATCAGCAATTGTTGTGTTTATACTACTGCATCTCTGTATGGATGCAGGCCAATAGTAGTCTGTTTGCTCTAGAACTGCAAGTTAAACTTTGGAGGGTTGGGTTGGTTTGTTTTGGGTTTTTTGAGGAAAAAGGGAATGGGAGAAGTAAACATTAAGTTACCACTACTGTTCCTAGCAAATTTGAAGCATTTTAAGGGTGCTTATATTTCTACTGTTGAGCACCAAACAAACCTGACAATCTGAAGTACTATGCTGCAGTACAAAAGAAGTTTATGAACTTATGCACACAGTTAATTTCACATAAAAGTAATACGAAGACAGTTCTACAGTATCGATGCACATTTTTACTGAAATTACACTTTTTCACTTACTTAAACCTATGTAGCTGTTTGATGTAGTTCATAATCTTCCACATATGCAAATCTACATATAGTCTTAGTTCACATGAAACCAGCGGCTTAACTTCTCTTTTATGTGGCCAAGCATCTACAGGCTCAGGAAGAAAACTGCTTGCTGGTTGTCTAAAACTCACTCACTGTTCTACAAAAGAATATTATCTAAAATTTGTGCCAGCACAGCTTCAGTGTCAGTGGTATGAAGTAGTCTTATTTTAGTGGTCATATGTCAAAAGCCATGAAATGGATTTACTTGTAGAGCATGGTGTGGTTTTGGGCACATTGCAGGAGAAGATGATGGGGGCTGGTGGGGAAAGAAAGACATTTATAGAGTAATTTCTCATTTTCAGCGTGATAGAATGATTCCAAACTGTATTTAAAGTTCATTTGAACTGGTCTTGAGAATAGATGTTGAAGGATATAAAGAATTAATCAGAAATGACTGGGTTATGAGTGTCTTCGTACACTTGTCAGTGTGTATGTGGTCCATTGCTACAGCTCATCTCCTGGCCTACTCCCATTGCAAAGGAGGAGAATCAATGTGCTTGCACATATATAAGAAGTGGTCAGAGGGAAACACAGATTGTGCCCCAAAGAAAATTCACAGATGTATGAGTGGGTGTCAGCAAAGGTGGTGAAGCTTGAGATTCTCTCTAAACACAGGCAGCTGACTTTGGTCCGTGCTTAACCTAGCCTGCCTATTGAGGGTAGCCTAGAACATATTATTACCCCTCTCGAGACAACGCCTGTAATCTTTTTTTGTATTCCCGATGTTATTTATGCAACTTGGAAAGACAAAGTCCTAGATTCTTTGATGGAAGTGTAGTGGCACAGGAATCAAAAGAGAAACTGGTTGATAGCATTGCTTTAGCTGAATCTCTGGTACTTAATCATTCTTCCTTCAGAGTCTGGAAAACACAAGGCAGCCCTGGACAACTGTAGCTCTGCATTTAAGTACTGTGACAGTGAATTACTGAGCAAGCGGGAACATTCTGAGTGAGTCCCAAAATAGAAGGCAGTTAAGTACGTAAGTCCAAGAATTTAGCATTATATGGAATCCTGAGTTCAGCCCGTGCCTTAAAATATCTGAATGCTATTTCTTCAGCCATTATTATGTTAGCTCATTCCTGCACTCCATTAGCATGCTAGAAAAGCAAACTGAATGAAAGGGATGCCAGTACATCTCACTGAGGCCTTTAATTGTTCCTTTTCTTCAGGTCATGTTATTAAAGTCTTTGTCCCAAAGACCTGGAAAAGCGAATAGTTGAGACTTCAGTGTTCCTTGTGCAAAACACACCTTGTGAGCCTTTGAGCATAGTACAGAACTCTTGGAGGAATGTGCAGGGTACTGTAAGCAAAATTTAGAGTACTTTTTAGAATAGTTCTAACTAGTCCAATATACCACCTAAGGAAGAACTTGCTTTCACTTGGTGATGCATATAGAAATGAGGACTGAGATGTGAAGAACACCAGATAGGAGTTAATTATATTATTATACTTATTACTGGCAAAACTCTACCAGGAAAAAAGTATTTTTTTTATTTAAGCTTCTGGTTAATCTTACTTGTTTAAATTAGTGATGTAGGTCTGCAGGGACAACAATGTAGAGATGTGCTTGGGTATGGGGTAAATGAAACTCTTGGGAAGGAAGAAATTGGATACAATTCTGCATGTACTGTTAGTAGATGAGTGGAGGCAGAGCAATTCTAGGCCAGCCCACCACCTTTTTAAGCCCAGAATGAGCTCTAGGAATTAGTGACCTTTTTAATGGGGTGGGGTAAAGGTTATTTATTTAATTTTGCGAGTAATATTGATACCTGTTAAAGGAAGTCCTTGTCTCACCAAGTAGTAATGCTAAAATTCACAGTTTAAGTCTACTTTGGAATAGTATTTAAATTCTTTCACTTAGGAATAAAGAAAACTATGTAAAAGAAGTGTAGCCCTAACATTAGTTTAAGAAAAACCCAATACCACCACAACAGATTTTTAATAATGCAACCATTTGTTGTCCCTGACTTCTAGACATAGCAGTATTACTCTTGTAATACTGTACTCTTGTCTAGGTTGGATCCTTTGAAAATCTTATGAAATCCGGGAACTGTAAGGCACAGAAAAAAAGAAATGGGAGAATGTACACATCTTTGCCTTCTTTGTTTGTTTACTTCAGCCTGGAGATGTTGAAAAAATAGTATATTAATGAAGAACAGTTCTTTCCATCTTGCTTCTTAAAAAATTGTGACAATAGGAGAAATCTTTGTTTTGTAAAGCTTCCAATAATACATCTCACCATACATTTAGAAATAAATGTCTAGGTCATGTTAAACTTTGAGTTAAAAAATAAATTAATATAATAATCTTTTTTAGACCAACAACTTACTGGTGTTTATTTAAAAAAATGCCAAAAAGGAGAAAATAAAAAAATTGAAAAAAAGTGTGGATAATTTTCCTTTTTTGAAAACTCGCCTCTTCCATAGTACTCCAAAAAGTTAATTACTTGGCTTTAACTGAGATTTCTCAAAGGGAATTCTGTGTTAAGAAAAGGCTCCTGAGAGAGAGCATAAGAGCCCTCTGTGGCTCTTTCTGATGTACCACTGACAGTGACGAGCACAAGTTGATGACATGTCATAAACAGAAAACTGAAATGAATACGTAAGTTTATTTAGCTCTCATGGTGCTTGCAAATTTCGTGTATTCTTAAACTATTCCTTTATTACTCTTTTAATTACACAACTAATCTTACGACTTTTGAGTGGATTTCCGTGATGTAATCATAACTCTCCTAGCAATTGCTGCACACGTTCTACTTAAAATTTGTCTTCTATGTTTACACAGTATTACCCAGGGCTGGGTGTAGGCATATAATCACCCAGCCAAGTAGGCAGATGTTACAAGGAGTGGAGTGCAACAAACTTTATCTTACTATCTGTTTTAATAATTCTGGACCCTGGGAAGACTTGAAGACAGTGAGAAAAGAGTGCTCCAGGGGAAGGAGGTTCATTCCTATTGTTGCCTCCTGTTTTTCTTTTCCATCCTTCTCTTACAAGGAAAAATTGCCGTATGCCAGTTAATGTCTCTGGAACCTTGTAGAGAAGAAAGCCCTACCTGTGCAGAAACAGCTGTAAAATCAGACCTCATTTCTCTAAAGAAGATCAGCTTGGATTATTTGAAGTAATAACAACATGCTTTATATCTTTACAGTAAGGCTATGAGCCTACAAGTGGATCAACATGATCGATCTGTACACCTTTGCTAAGTCCCAGTGATTCTAATTAAACTTGATTATAGGATCCAGCTTATACTTGGTGGTGTTTCTGCAATGAGCTGTGCCCAGATGGACTCTTATGCTTGCATTGAATGCGCTGAGTGAATAAGGCCTGGTACAGCATTGGTAACATTGTTTTCGAACAATGTAGATAAAGGATCATTCCAAGCAAGGTAACTGTACCTTTGGTTAGTTCCTGGTCTTATTGCTTTACTTCTGTCAGTTGCAAGTGCATTACTTCAGATGGTGACTAGTTGAAAGTACCTTAGTTTGTTACAAAACCTAGGCAAGATGCATTCAAGAGAGATTCACAATATGTTCTCCTGTTCTCCCAATATGAAGAAGGGTGATTTTCTGAAGAAATGTAGGTAGCTGGGACCTAAAGTTGCTGTGAATAGACGTTAGAAAATTTGAGCTCAGGAGGTAGTTGAAGGTTGTCTTATGCAGCATTAGGGTGTGCAACTTTCCATGATTCTAGGAAAGTAAAATTCCTAAAAGGCCTTTCAAATATAAAACAAAAAGTTTCACAACATAGCTGAAGTCCCAGTCTGCATTTGGAGGAAATGTATTGCAAAGGATGAGTCAGATGTGGGCATCCCTAGAGAAATCTTTGCAAAGCAGGAGGTCTGTGCTTAAAAGGCTGCTGCAGGGATGTCTCTTGCATGCTTCTAAGGAGGGGTTCGACCTGCCTGTGGGCAGTGTTTCACTGCCAGGAATACTGGACTGCAGATTGGTAGCAGCTCCCAGCAGGGTATGCAGAAGGCAGAAGGTTGTGTCCGTTCTCTGCATCATGGTACTGACAGACTGGTCTCACCCTGTGTTGTGGAAGTTGATGCATGTGACTTGTGAACTTTTGGTTGTCCTCAACCAATTTTAATTTGCTGTTTTGAAATCTACTGCAAAGACAGCCAGAAACAGGAACTGGGTCCTTTGCATGAAAACATGTACAGCTGCAGTGATGTCTGGTGGTAGTGTCTATACGTCAGCGCTTTCTTCAGCTCTAATATGTTCGTGGACACAATAAATAACTATGTCAAATGGTCCTGAAACAAACTTCATCAGACACTCAGTCTTAGATGGTAATGATTTTTGGTCATGATTAACTTGATGGCTGTTTTTTCTCTCCATGTCTTTATCTCTTCTAAGAGAGAGTAGCCTGCATATGTAACTCTGTCAGGGATTGAAGTCCTAAGTAGTTATTAACTTGTACTTAGTATGCAACGTCTCTGAATTAAAAGGGCAGATCTATCTTCATCTAATGAACACTTAGAAGAAGAGAGTTACCCGGCAGGTTTATAGTTAGCTCTAATTGCATTCTCCTTGCTCTGCTGGGACTAACATCCGCAGGAGAGAAGAGAACAACTTTCAGAGAAAATGACAATTGCATCAAACAGTATCAAGAGAAAGACACAGTCAAAAAAGTGCTGATACAAAATATGTTACTGCTACCCCTTCTCTCTTCCTTGTCTTAACTCCCTGTCTTCTCTCACCCTCAATTTTTTTATTCTCATGCTGTGGCAGACAAACTTGCTGTCGTGTAATTTACTGCAGCTTCACATTGCTTTGATTCATGTTCTGCTGCTTATGAACCCTGTGGTTCAGAGATGGCTTGTTAAAGTGTATTCCACTTAATTAAGTGTTGTTTAAGCATAAGTGAGGAAGTAAGACTAGTATCTCTCTCTTTTTTTTCTTCTTTTTTTTTTATTTTCTTCTTTCTCCTCCATCCCTGGAGTGGGATGGTCATGATAGGAGTAAGCAGGGAAGTTAATCACACATACCTTTTTAACTAGCCATAACTGAAACTTTCACACATTTCAGATTCTTCAAAGGCATTTTCTTTTGTGAACCTGCTGGCACTCTTATGTTTTCTGATAAAAACACAATGTAGAAAGGCTTAGGTGAGATTCCTATACTGGAAACTAGTTGCAATGTTGATTGTGGAGTGAATCTTCTGACTGGAAAGTGAAATTATTAGGTATCTGAGAGATTAATTAAATTTTTATACTTCAATTAATTTTCTTAGATACAGAGAAGCCAGTTTTTTTTTTTGAAGTTTAATAAATTTTCTTGTAAGCACTTAATGTTATGGTTTTTATGTTCTAGAGCAAACACGATGTCTGAAGGATTAAGCTGAATCAGTTTGGGTTAAGTTGCTTCGAAGTATCTTGAAATGCATTCACTGAAATCCCACATTGTTAGTCTGGCCTTGGATTTGAACCATTTATTATAATCACTTAATTAAATATTAGAAACATAAACCACTTTCAAGTTGGTTTGCTGCCTAGCAGGTAGTTTGCAGGTAGTGAACTTGTTTCTTCTTTATAAGAAAAAGGAAGCTCGAAGCTACTGAACAACACGTGGAAAAATGTTCTGGAACCATGATCTGTGTTCTGTATCTACACTGTCAAGGAGCAGTCAGCCAGAGGCAAACACTGAGGTGGAGTTAATGGAGGAGAGGGCTAAAGTATACTGGATTGATATTTGAAACATGATAATTTGGGTTTTCTTTATGCTCATTTACCTCTGCTTGCTGCAATGTTGACATGTTAGCTTTAATGAAGGCAGCTTTTACACAAGTGCTAGAAATGTCTCCAGCTAATGGAGTACCTTATTCAGCATGCTCTTATTCTTTTCCTCTCAACATGTTCTTTGCTTTCTTCTATCTGTTCCTTGCACGCACACACACCCCTTACTGGAACTAATGCAGTGATGGAGCAAAGCATAAAAATGAAAT